TTTTATTTATGAAGAAAATAAACGAAATAGAAAAATAATAGACTCATAAATTTTGGACTCTTGAGGAGAATGTCATCAGATAAACAATTGTTTAAAGCACAATTAAAATTTCCTTGATTACTAAACTAATTAAATTTCTTTGAAGGCCTTTAACATTACCACAAAGCCAACATAATCAGCATTAATTTGTATCTTAATAGTTCATAAAATGCATGATTCTGTTATTTTTGTATTTCGTTTATTTTCTCTATAAATAATAAATACAATTCTTTTCTTTCTTGTCGCATATATATTTTTTTATATTCGTTTATTTACTCAAGTTTAATAGATTTAGTTGCTTACTATTCAAATATACTACTATATAATTTCAATTAGCAACATGTAGGTCTCCTGTATCAAGTTACACAGGATTGAATGGCCCAGTGATTTGAGATGATAAAGGGCTTATGATTTATCTTTGTGTATTGCATACAAAAGTAAAAACAACGCTGTGAGTATTATCAGTGAGCTTTCAAGAATAGAGAGATGAGTGATATTTTCAATTCACACGCACTCATGCAACAGCTTTATTTTATGTAAAGCTCATGATTATGTGTTAGATGTACAAATAACAATACCTTAATTAGATTTTTTTTTCTTTAGAAAATTGGTTGAATAAAATCTATACATTTCATATCCACAAATAAGAAACCTTGTGTAACGTATACATTCTCATTCTCAAGAAACCTACAAGATGTGTAATTATCCATTGGTTCTATGTCATCTCTCTGAAATAAATAATGCACACGCTCATTTTCTAATCGAACACCACAGGAGACATTTGACTGTGACATCACAATGAAGATCAGTCCAACAAACGTAGCAGCCGTAAAAGATGATCATCATGATCGAGTGTTGTTAACTTCACTTGCAAGCACACGCAATATTTCATGTCGTCCTTCGTCACTCCCATCATTTGTCTGGAGAGTTCCTCGTCAAGTTTGTTATTCAACATTTTTAATTTTTCTCTTTATTTCTTATCAGCTATTTCAATCTAGCATCCTCGTTCATTGACAAAACGCAGGCGATCTCGTATTGTTATTCATACAAGCATCATAACACAAACAAACAATAAATCAATTATTCCTAAAGATACTTTGTTCCCGGTCAGATTCTTCAATTTTTGAATTATTAATATTTTCTCTTTGTTGAAATAGGTGCCAACTATTCTAAGTCCTGTTCATTACCATCAAGAGAAATCAGCAAAATCGATTGTCAGTCAAAATTATGTGGAATTATTAAAAAATGAAACAGAGACTGTCAACGAAACTAAAATTAATCGACATCAACATTCACCAGCACAGGTTAGATAGTCAAAAGAAGATGTTTGTTATTAGAGATCTATAAAATGTTTTCTTTTCATTGTATAACTAAGGACTTATTTGAACTATATACATCCTCACTAATATCACACGAAATCTGATAGAAAAATATTCAACATTTTTTTTTATTACTTCAATAAGTTTATTCGTGTGCAATTGGTATGTATAGTCATATACTTTATCAGCTAAACTCTGCATAAAGTTGTTCTTCAGTCCGAAGAAGGATTATATATGATCATAATTAAAAAAATGGCTACAATTTAAGTAATCAGTAAAATAGATCAAATAACCAGTAAAAAAAATATAAATGATCAGTAGAAAGATTGAATGGTCAGTATTGGGAATTATCAGTGTTTAATTAAAAAAATGGTCAGTTTATTATATTTAAATAGCAGTAAAAAAAAAATGCAAAACTGGTCAGTGAAAAACATAAATTCTATCAGTAGAATTATTTTTATCACTATAAAGTATAGTTCTGTATAAGAACAATAATTTAAAGAAATAAAAAAAAACACTAAAAAGAAATTTAAAGTATGAAAGAAGAAAAAGCAAATTAAATTATTGTATTCGCAAAGCGGGTTTGACGTTTGTTGATATACTACATTTTCTTTTCTCATCGAACGGAACTCTCTTTGCTAGTGGTGATGGTTTAAAATATTTCAGACCAATAGCCGTACTCTCGACGTGTTTACATATGTAGTTAATGAAAGAAGTTGGACAGTAGCACTTTAATCTTTTCTAAGATGTATTATTACCTAATTTCATACACCAAATATCAAATGACTTTTTCAAATCAATTATAAATTTTAACACTTGCTCGGCAATGGAGTCCACAACGCTTGGCGTTTTTGTATCTATGATAAACTATTCTTTCATTATCTGTATAGTTCGCGCAGTATTTTGACCAATCATTTGCCATTGATATTTCTAATTAATCAACATAATCAAATAACATTTCTTTAACTTAATGTCTTGATTTCTTTATTTTAGGAAGTCTTTCATTTCCATTTATATCATAATCTTCATCTGACATGGGGGGTGGAAAGTTACCGTTACCCGGTAACAGTAACGGTCTGGTAACTGCCTCCAGTCACTATCCCACACTCTTGGGTCCTCAGGTTCCGCTATGGATGGGTACCCTTGACTCCTCTACTCCAACTATTGACGGGGTACCCTTGAGTCCTGAAATCCCGCTATACCAGAAGTTGCCCAGATGATATGAAAGAACAGGCCTCCTCAAATCTATTTGCTCAAAAAATAGACCATTCAGATTGCGAGATTCTATTTCTCGGTGATATATAGGGCGGTGCCCCCCACAGATAGTCCTTATTCGATAGAGCATCCTCGAAAGCCCTAGAATCGGTCCGAACATGACTAGCACTTGTCCAAACAATAAGAAAGAAAAGGCCTCCTGAAATCTGACTGGTCGAAAAATTGGGCCAATGAGTTTTCAAGAGAACTTTTCTTTCTTATTGTCAGGACCACTCCTATTATCCATTTCAAAATAAAAGAAGGGTGAGTATTTTTGGAATACTTTTTGATAGGAACTAGATAGAGATCTGCGGTTTTCACTATTCAAAAGAGGTGATGAAACTACATCGAATTATCAATACGGATTTTTCTGGTACAGTTTGTTGGAGTCTGCCGCCAAGGTTTTTAGAAAATTGAGGCATTTTAACAGGGTTAGAAGATGGATTTTTTGAGAAAAAATCTGAAAAAAAGTGATTTTTTCGTCGAAAATACGTAGCAAAATCTTCATAACGCGTGATGAGCTAAAACTTTTAGCATCGGGCGTGCAGAGATTATTGAGCTTTAGTTAATGCTTCTGATGCAGTACTGAAAAATAAAAATCTAGTATTGGTAATTCGATATAGTTTCATCGCCTCTGTGAAATGGTGAAAATCGCAGATCTCTATCTAGTTTCCATCAAAAGCTCTTCTAAAAATACTCACCCTTCTTTTATTTTAAAATGGATAATAGTCATGTTCGGATCGATCCTAGGGTTATCGAGGATGCTCTGCCGAATAAGAGGTATACGTGTGGGGCTTTGCCCTATATATCACCGAGAAATAGAATCTCGCAATCTGATTAGTCCATTTTTTGACCAATCAAATTTGAGGAAGTTTGCTCTTTCATATTTTCCGGGCAACTTCTAGTATAGCAGGACTAGAGGACCCAAGGGTACCTCCGGATAGTTGGACTTGAGACCTCAAGGGTACCCGTTACCAAACCGTTACTGTTACCAGTTACCAGGTAACGGTAACGAAAAAGTTACCGCCGTTAACGTTACCCGATTACGCGGTAATGATAACGGGTCGGGAACAGCAACTTTCCACCCCTAAACAGTACTAAAGCGGTAAAGGGACTAAGGATACTAAAGCGAGTAAAGGGATAAAGGTGGTGTATTGCTGTGAAGGAAAATGTTTCTGACTTAAATCGTTCCGGAATACAGTCGACAGAAATCCTGCATAAACCGGATAGAATTCGATCGGTTTTTTGACGAAGAACTCGGTTTCCGAAGCAATCCAATGTCGGTTCCGGTTTTTTCCGGTAGGATTTACAGGCTGGATAGACATCTTGAGAATTTTTTTGCTGTGTTGTGCAAGGGGAAAACGCTGATTGCAATCAAAGCAATCATTATCAATCATTGTCAATCAGAAGTGGGTCACTTTAACCGGTCTCTCCGCTATTGTACAGATAAAGCATGTTCTTGTTCAGACCACATAAAAGAGGACCCTTGCATACGCCCAGATTTGTCCGAACAAGACTGTGTTTTATCCTTATAATAGAGGAGAAAAATCCTACTAAAATCCGATTGGTCGATAGAAAAAAGCTGCGGACCAATCAGATTTTAATAGCGTTTTTCTCCTCTATTATAAGGATAAGACATAATCTTGTTCGGACCAATCTGGAGATTTGCGGGGATTCTCTTTCATATGGCCCGAACGACACCATGGTACGTCCGTATTAGAGTAAAGAACAAGTCGAAATTATATGATATTTGCCTATCGCAATGACTGACGCTTAATTTTATGTAAATTATGCAGATTTTTAGAAATATTGATGTTAAGTAGAAGAAACGTAAACCTAGTACTCAGTGTTAAGCAGGAAAACTTAATTTTTAGTTAAATTGAAGGGTCCACTCTGTTGTCAATCAAAGCAATCCTGGCAATAAAAAACACAGCTCCCCCCCCCCCCCCCCCTTGGTTTTGTGTGTCTGGACAGTCGATGTAGATGTAATTGGTTTGTACTTTGAAAATTTGTTGAAATCTTTTCCTTTTTTTCTTCTCGTTCTAGTCGTATCTCAATCAAGGAATATGTGACGATTTGAAGAAAAATTCACCACAACAGAAAAGTTTGTCAGCCAGAACAAATGACAAAACTGAGGGAAGGAGTTCAGTACACAATCCAGTAAGATTATCAATAGTGAAGACCTATTCATTGGTAAAAAACAATAGAATTCAGCCTCAGATGATTTAAAATATGCTGTTATTTGCGTATAAAAGTTATTTTAGACTAAACGAGTTATATTTGTAGTAAATATTGTTCCTAGTAATTTGACTTGATTTGATATTAAAATTGAAAGCAAAGCAAAACTATTCATTCTTTCCCTTTTGTCTATACTAATCTTTTAAATTAATGCAGGAAATTGGTTCATGGTCAGATGTAACGAATTTCAAGGATCTATATGACCGAAAGCGGAATAGAAATAAAAAGAAGCAAGAAGTCATTTTTTCGTACTTTTTTTATTAAACATTGAAAATGTCTCACTTAGGTATTTTAAATGTATTTGCTGTCGATGTTCACCTGTGTGTTTACTTCTATCTCCAATTGCTCTTCTTCTTCTTGGCACGGTCATTGCTGCAATACTTGTCGGCTTGACCTCAACACCTAAATCAACAAGAACTTCAACAATTACAACAGCATCCACATCAACAACAGCAACAGCACGTAAGGCAACATTCGTATTTTTATTCGCGCATACGCAGAAATATTCCAACAATAGGGTTCGTTAGACAAGTTCTAGTTGATCAATTTGAAATATATCTATAACTGAGCTAGGTTCCAGCGAAGGCAGCGATTTTTTATGATTTTAGTGACTTCGATTGGTTTTCAACTGATTTAAATCAGCTGCTTTCTTCTTAGAGTTCAGCTATGAAAGAAGCTGTCGACATTCTTCTTCTCATTTTTCTCTTCATTGATTTCTTCAATCGTGCTCAGTTTTCAGAAAGCGGCTGGTGGGTCACTGTAGATTAAAAAAAAAGAAAAGAATGACGAACTTCTCGTTTTTTGGACTATGAAAAGGACAAACAGAATATTGAACGTCCATTTAGATGGACGCCAAGGCAATACTGTTATTGTCTGTTCCGGATGACGAACTAACGAGCAAGAAATCGTGGATGGAACAAAGGATGCTTGTCTTTGGATCAATGTTATTTAACTGCACTATTCTCGTGGTGTTTCATCGAAATATCCAATGTTGAGAGAAGTTCACCGTTAATCATCTCTTACACAAATGCGCGCATCACCTAACTAAAATTCTTTTTTAAGAGAGTTTTCTGATCATGTTTTATCAAGAACATATTGTCAATCATTCTACCGATTATACTCAAGAAAAATCTTGTGAATTGCGTCGATTAGGAGACCATATTATTTGCTGGTCTGATCAAATCTGAAAATGCGATTCAGTTTAGTTTCAACGAGAAAAATATTGAAGACAGCATTACGAAACCAGAGAACAGTTGAACGATGATAATCGTAAAAAAAGACGTTTAAAAGTTTGATTGATTTTTGCTGAACTTTTCCTTACTCTAGTTACTTTGACAATTGGTATATGTAAAACGCCAACAACAATACAGATAAATTTATTTATATACTTTCTTCTTATTGTCTGCTCGTTTCAGATAAAAATGTTAGAAAATATTTCATAAAAGTCTAATTTAATCATATTAATGATTATTTTATATTGAATTGCATTACTTTCTCGATCACTTTATCCTTAATTAAAAAGAAAAAAAATCAACATTAGTATTTTATTAAACTATTTCTCTCATTTTCTTTTAAAATCAAAGCCTCATATTTAGCTACTATAGCAAGATCAAACTTCCTCTAATCTTAGTTCTTTCGATATGAGAATTGTTTTTAGAAAAAATAAGTAAAACCTGTTAATCTTTGAATATTACTTACAGCTTGTGCACTTGATATTAGATAAAAACAAAATTAATGAGAATAATGTCGATGTCAAGAGTTCTTCAGTTTCTTAGGATATTAGACGTTACTATGAAACATTTTCAATGAATTAATTTAAAAAGTCGCGAATGATGTGAAATGTCATTCTATTAAGATACATGACGACTTAAAATAGATGTTCGATCATTGAACAAAATCTTCTTCTGATCAAAGAGTTTCGCAATATCTATTAATGACTTTTATACCAATAGAAAGATTCCATTGAATAGATTGAAAGGTATAAGATTTCCTTTTTTGTATAAAAGGACAAAAAGACTTGTGATGTTTGGTTTCATATTTCTTTGTTCTACAGCAGTAATACAGATGAAAATGCAGTTTTTTTTCAATCGATACGTCTGTTCAAACATCGAAGTCCTTCAATCAAATTTCATGTTTTTTTCATGTACGCTAAATAGTTCCATTGTCGCAGTTATCAAGACAATACGAAGGCAGTTTTGCAACACTGCAGTCTTCACTAACAACAAGACCAAAGAAGCATTTTACTTTATACATTCGTACACATTATTATTGGGATGCACCAGCTCTGATTTCAGCCAATTCCAAATCAGAATCTTGGCTTGGAATCAGAATTGATTTGAAATTTTTATCAGCCAGTCAGATTTTAGCAGGGTTTTTCTCCATTATTGCAAGGACAAAACATGCTGTTGTTCGGGTCATATGAAAGAAGATCTCAGACAATATTCGGATTGACCCGAACAACACTATGTTTTGTCCTTGCAATAGTGGAAAACATCCTGCTGAAATCTGCTTAGTTAATAAAAATTTCAAATCAATTGTATGTCAACTCTAATCAATTCCAATTCCGATTCCAGTCAGTTCCAGTCAATTCTAAGAATCAAAGCTGACTGAAATCGAAATCGATGCATCCCTTTAGTATTATATTCTATGACAAGATGCGTTAATCTATTTCATACCAAAATGAATATTGAGGTCTCAGTAAAGTTTAAAAAAATAACTTTTAACAGCTGATAGTTGCTCTCAATCGTTGATAATAATCATTAAGATTATTTGATATTTTGATTTTATGTCAAAACCCAGAATTCTCTAAAAAGAGAAGAAATATTTTAGGTTTTAATTTTTCTTCGAATACATTCTATTAGTTAGTTAGACTGATAAAAGTTGACACTGTTAGCAATTCTGATTAATTAATCGCAACAATATATTCATCTTAATTTTTCTAAATACAAATATTTATATTTATAGCCGTGACAACAACTACAACATCGGTTCCAAGTAATGTATCCGTTTCTTTTATTAAAACTGGCTGTTTTCAAACTCTAAAATCAAGTGTTTCGTCTACCATATGACCTCTTTAGGATATCACTGATGCAAACGTTTTTGTATCAAAAGAATGAAAATTTTTGCTTTATCTTTCTAAACTATAAAATGTTCTCTTTAATAAATGTTGTTTTAGAAAATTTTGACTTATACAAAACGTAGACAGAGTTGACACTAACTATGAGAAATTTGATAATACACGTCTTTTTTTTTTAAACTTATTATTTGCTCATAGTATGGTCGAACACTGGTAGTATGAATTATGCTCGATATAGACACACAGCATCTATATTAATAAATGGAAAAGTGTTAGTTACTGGTGGATCGAACGCTGGTGTTTATTTGAATAGTGCTGAGTTATATGATTCTTCAACAGGCATGTGGGCAATCACTGGTAGTATGAATGATACCCGAGACAGTCATCCAGCAACCGTATTAACAAATGGAAAAGTGTTAGTGAGTGGTGGATATAAAGGTATTACTAGTTTGAATAGTGCTGAATTATATGATCCATCAACAGGAATGTGGACAATCACAGGTAGTATGAATTATAGTCGATATTTTCATACAGCATCGGTTTTAACAAATGGAAAAGTATTAGTTGCTGCTGGATTTAATAGTGGTGGTTATTTGAATAGTGCTGAATTATATGATCCATCAACAGGGATGTGGGCAATCACTGGTAACATGAATAATGCACGATATTTGCATTCAACATCCATATTAACAAATGGAAAAGTATTAGTTACTGGTGGATCCAGTAGTGGTGGTGGTTTGAAAAGTGCTGAGTTATATGATCCATCAACAGGAATGTGGACATTCACTGGTAACATGAGTAACGCACGATATTTTCATACAGCATCCATATTAACAAATGGAAACGTACTAGTGACTGGCGGATCTAATGGTAGTAGTATTTTAAATAGTGCTGAGTTATATGATCCTTCAACAGGGATGTGGACAGTTACTGGTAACATGAATAATGTACGATATTTCCATACAGCATCCATATTAACAAATGGAAAAGTGTTAGTAGCTGGCGGATATATTGGTGGTGGTATTAGTTTGACTAGTGCTGAGTTATATGATCCTTCAACAGGGTTGTGGACAATCACTGCTAATATGAATTATTCTCGATATAATCACCCAGCATGCGTATTAACAAATGGACAAGTGTTAGTTGCTGGTGGAGTTGGTAATGGTGTATATCTAAGTAGATCAGAGCTATACAAACCATAACAAACAAATAAACAATAAACTGTTTTTTTTTTCTTTTCTTTTTTTTGATAAAGAATTTAATTAGTTTGGTCGCTTACAAAGGCAATAGTCGATCGTGCAGGACGTAGTAGAGCTAGTATCTTCTGCGCTTCAAAGAAAATTGCGCAAAAATAGTTAAACCACGTATTGATATGAGATTTAGCACCTGTCTCTTCTGTCTGAAATACGCAAAGAGCGATTGGAATTCTCATTTTACGTACACGGGGCACTACAAAAGTATTTTCGCTAGCCATTTAGACAAATATTCAAAGGCTGGTCCTAGCGTAGTTTTCCAAAACATCACTCATCAGCAACAATGCACTTGTATGGTGTGAGTGTGGGTGTGTAGGATGTGGATGCGTGGATGTGGTTATGGGTGTTTGTGTGAAGAGCATAGTCACGCACAATTACACTCACATCCCACTCTCATATCATTGTTATTAATAATATTCGTTTTTCCTTATTCATCATCAATAATAAATATTTATATTGGATCAAAATTAAATTGTGAATTATATCTTCATTTGTATTTAATAAATATTTTATTATTAAATGGTATAAATGTAATAAATGAATCATTTATTTAATTAATAATGTCAATTAAAGAATTTAATTCTTATAAAAAAATCTTTTATTAATCTATTCTTTTATTAATCTATTCATTTATTAATCTTATTTTCTGTTACATATTTACAAAAATTATTTGGTATAACTGGAATTATAATAATTAACTGTTTAAATATATTCGGAATAATAATAATAAATAATTATTTAATAAACCGATAATTTATTCGAATTGAAAGGTTAAAATCATATTTATTTTCATCACATTATATATTATTATTATTAACATATGTTATATGTAGTTTAAGTCAATATTTAATTGAAAATAGCTTTGGAGAAATAAGTTTTGGTATTAGTTTTATTTTAATAATAATTTGTTTACCATTAATTGAAAAAAAAATGATTCATTATGTTTATTGTGTATTGAAATTAAATAATCAAAAAAAAAGATCTACACTTTTTAAATAAATATTTATCAATTTTTCTACTCCAGCATTGTTTTCTTGTTTTGTAAATAAATCACAGAATCAACCGAAAACAAAATGTTTCTTCCGGATTCTTTGTCGTTTTGTGGAGAAAAGGGTGCTTGTTTTCTTTTATTGACAAAAGCGTTCAAGAAAAAAAGTAGTCGTAGTATTATCATATTCCATATCTTGACGACTCGATTTGTTCTCAGTTTTTCGTAAGAATATCTTGGCTAAATTATTCTTCCATAATAATGATTTTTAATAAATAGAAGAAAAAATAGATCATTTAATCAGTTAAACCTTTCAATTTATTTTCTTTTACTTTGAATATCGAATTTTGATATACGAAGTTCGATAGATTTTCATTGTTAGAATATTAAAAAGTGCAACAAAACATCGAATGTTTTCATTTTAACATAATATGTATTCTATTCGATTGAAGAAAATATTAAGTTAATGTCTATATAGATCATTGTCAATGAGATTCCTTTTATCTTATGAACGCCATTTTTAAGAATTCAAACCATAGTTATTATTTAACACTACGATGTCTTGAGAACGATTTATGAATTCGAGCTGTAACTTCTTGATTATCTTCAATTTCTACCACAATTAGTCCAGATCAATCTGAATAATTTTAAACAAGAAAATTCAATTTCTATTCTCAAAGGTAGATTTGATGAAGTGTTGCATATTTATCTCTTACTAGATGTATAAATATCCATATAGTTTAGTATTGATTAGTATTTAATTGTTTAATCACAAAAATTCTCTATGGTTCATAGACGAAAAGCATTGATACCTGGTTTCGTAGCAATCCTTAGAAAATATAAAGAAAAATATAGAATTGTATAAGCGTCATTTTTATAGGATTCTCTACAAAATATAGGATAAATGTAGGACAAAGTATTTCAGAAAAAAAAAACACTTTTTGATGGATTTCGACAAAAACCTGCAGTGACGCGCAAATCGAGCAGAATCTGCGGCTCATTTTATAAGATAAACTGCAAATGAATCCAAGCCAAAATTAGTCAAAATCAAAGGTTAAAGCATTTTCAGCAGAATATGAAAACTAAATGGCTTCTGCTCAATTGATTGACCGAACTCTACTACCACCTATATGAAACAGTTGTAGAACAAATGCGAAATACGTAATTTAAGGGAGCAGAAAAATAGTTCCTTATTTTTTTTCGACTTGCTTGATGTGTTTTTTTTTAATAATTATTGTATAAAGCATGTGAGAGCCTCATACTCAACATACGTATAAATACGAACAAAAATTATATTGAAGGATACCTGTTTAATCGATACAGATTGTTGCGTTAACTGTGATTCTTTGTCTTTTTTGTTGCTGTTTGAAAAGCCACATCTGATTTTCTTATTAATGTAAGCTAAATAACATCTTAACAAAGCTCGGAATGTGGATTCCGTCATGAACACTTTCAACTCTTAACTGTTGCATTTTTAAATAAAACTTACTTGACACATGGGAATGTTTCCATTATACAGTTCTAAAGAATCTGATCAAAGTCATGTAGTATTCTTATCATTTATCTTGTTATCAATATTATGAATTAGATGATTAAAAACAATCATGCTTCCAGGCCCGTAGCGAGGATTTTACCAAAGGGGGTGCACTCCATTATAGATGCAAACAGTTATAGCTTTTTCTTGTTATGATTCATGTAAGCGTGGGAGACGTTTTTAGACTAGTAGGATAAGCTCTTATTTGTGTACTAACTTTGCCCAAACGCATATATCAAAAACATATACATCATGTGTAAATTTACTGTTTATTTCATATTAGAGACAAAAGCAAGTGATTAGTTAAAGTAAACTTAAAAACAATAGTTCTGTTCATTTGTTTGTAAATTTAATTCGACGTTTATCTTTGCAAAAAATATTGATAACATCTTCCACATTCAAATTTGATGCGATATCATGATGAATGTGAATTAAAGCAAGATTACTTAATCTTTCATCACCAATACTGTTTCTCAAAATAGTTATAATACGTTTCATTGTTGAAAATGATCGTTCAGCAGTAGATACTGTAACTGGTAATATAGCGAACAATTCAAACAAACAATATAAATTAGGGTAGAATGATCGAAGGGATAATAAAGCATTTAATGAATCAATTACATTAGATGGCTTCTTAGCAATCGAAGTTTTTTTCCATTTATGCTGCCACATATCAAATTCAGTTGCTAACAGGTTCATATCATTCGATGGTAAATCATCTTTGTAGAAATCAAATGCTTGTTTCACATTATTAAATTCCTTTTCGACAACATACGAAGGCAATAAATTGAATACATTAGTTAAAATTTTTTGATGTTTACTGAATCGATTTCCAAGCTCTGTTAATGTTGTTTCAATAAATGTTTCATACATATTCTTTAAATAAGCACTAACATTTTCATATTTGTTCGTTCTTGGAAAAGTAAGAATGATATCACTCTCACCTGCAAAATTTTCCAGCTCCGTTTCAAGTTCATTAAATTTTGTTACATCATATTTTAATTCGGCAAGGTACAATGCTACTTTTTCAATATTGTCATAACATTGCCCCAAATCACAATTTTTGCTTTGAAGTACTTCAGTGTACGGCTTTAAAATAGCAAAAATATGTGATACGACAGAGAGACAGATGATAAAGTCTAAATCTTTAATGCATTTGAAATATGCACGAGCATTTGCACTTGTTTCTACATCAGCATTTTCCATCAAATATTCCAATAAAGGCATCACACTAGTAGAAAGTTGTTTGAAAGCCAAAATAGAAGTAGCTTTTTCCACCCAATGGTGGTCAACCAGTGTGGTGAGCTTTTGCCGTTTAATGTCACAAGTGGTAGCTTCTACAGCTTTTTTTTAATAAGTTTTGCCTTTTCGGCGAAGCACTGATAAATGTGGGTGTGGGTGTGGGTGGGTGTGTGGTGTGGATGGGAATGAATGTGGGTGTTAATCTGGCTCATGTTCACACACATACCCACACCACACATCCACACCTACACCCTCTCGCTGCATCAGACGAACCATTAATTACAAATTTCCATCAACAAATAGAACATCAATAAGAAATAGCGAACTATGTGTCGAGTAGTTCTAAAACAAGATCATTAGGTTGTTCTAAAATCGACGACAAGTTTTCATTTTCATCTGGTCCGCCCTTAGAATGCAAAACAGAGACAACGATTTTCATCTATTAGTATTTCTACTATATAGAAAGAATGGAAATGTAGGTTTTTGAGCAGAATTCATCAGGTGTAGCGTTTTTTCATTCCAGAACCTGAAATCAATTTTTCGGGTTCACAACCACTAATGTTTTATCTTATTCATTGATCAACATTGCTGCATAAATGTGCCCAGCGTGATTTGCATTAGACTAACAAAACAGCTCTTTGGGTACTTGATCGATGTCTATTGTGTTGATTGGCTACAATCGTCTAGCGTTTGTCTAGCTTGATGCCATTCGTGAAGAAATTCAGTAACATTGGCGTATCGATCTTTAGCATGATCAGCTACTGCTCGACAAGCTATCTGATACAACCGATCACTAGCCTCCCATTTGGACCGGGACCTGTCAAGTTCACCACCGATGAGGCCGAAGGCACATGCGCCCATGCGGAACACGTTTGTTCGATGATTGAGTAGAGTAACGCCACTGAGCTCTTCTGGTGACAAGTACCGCGGAGAACCCCAAGGTGGTCGCGCTGCTTGGCACGGTATTTTTTCATAAAAATCGATATCACATATTTTGAGTGTATTTGACTCAAAATCGTACAAAATGCTGCCATCGTAGAAATCGATTGCCACGTAATCTAATCGATCGACATGTTCATGGAACGAGAAGATCGCTTCGAGAGCTGTCAAGCGTTGTTCAACTGGTAATTGACGAAAACGATAGTAGGGTGATTTCGGGTGTTCATATTTGGCGGGTGGTGGATAGGTCCAGTGAGAGTGCAGACACTCACCATTGTCGAACCATGGAAAGATCAGAGCGAAGCCTCCGGTTTCTTCTACGGGCAGCGCCATTTGCATAGTCAATAGGTGTTCGTGGGGTTGTAAATCTTGATAGACAGTAACAGCTCGTCGAAGACGAGTGACAGCATCTTGTGGAAGACCCTCGAATGAACTAGGATGAGCTCCAGCGTACTTGACGAAGACACGTTCCCCATTGGAATTAAAACAGCCGAAGGAAATATTGCCGGAATCCTGCTGATCGAATACACAGAAAACAGGACCAAAATTTGACTGGAGCCAAGTAAAATTATGCTCTTCACGCAAGTCAATTGCTAACGTCGTTCCGTCGGCAAGATCGAGCTGCATTGGAATATCAGAATCTGAAAAATCATTCGACTTATGAAGTATTATTTTTTCTTTTCTTTTTCTATCAATTCGAAAGGATCCTGATCATGTCGCAGGTGATTAAAACTCGAAGCGATCGTGCTAGACTCGACTTTTTTTGACATTTTGCTAACGATGCAATCAACCAGAAAAACAAAACAGACGAAAAGTTGATGAAAATCTACTTAGACGTACTGTTTGCATACTTACTGATCCAACCTTACTTTTAAAGGATGGTGCACACGATAGGGGCGAGCACGAGTTGTCTTTCCTTGCTGATTTTCATCTGCACCATAATGAAAGCTCCAAAAGAGGACGAAAACAGTATACAATATGTGTTCTGTTGCTTCCAATACTGCTGAATTGAAAGTGCACGTGTCTGCAATGAAGTCTCATTTTTTTCTCGTTCTTCTATTGTCGTTATTCAATCTTCTTTCGTAGTTTCGCATCGATGTCGTCCCAACGTTAGTCTACGTAAATCAAATAGTCACTCACTGTTTGATTCAGAGTACCACTTTGAACATAAAACGATCTGATTTGAAGTGTTATCTATGCAGCAACTCTTTTATGTAACATCGCTGCCATACAAAGGCGAAGATTGTGGATGTGTGGGGAGTGTGAGTGTGAGAAAACGAGAAAATTCATATCCACATCCTGTTAGAATGCTGCATATACATTTTGATGAATTCTTTAGGCGCTTGATGAGGTCGATAATCTCCTTATATACCTGATCATAAACCTTTTAGGCCATTGATGATAGCTATGAGTGCTGCTAAATTTCCTTTCGAAATACGTTACTTGAGTATTGTGTTTCCATCTACCCTTCAGAACAAGTTCCAGAGAGTATTTGAAAAGGTTTATGATGGATTTAAAAAAGTGCAACGAAGAGCAAACTCTTAAATGTGTGCTGCATGCACAGCAGAGTTGAAACCGGTACGTTTTTTCCTTACCAGTACCAGTCGAAATGGTCAAGTTGGACTGATCTAAGCGATCAGTAGACTGGCATGAGTCATTCTATTTTTTGCTGATCTTAAAATAGCCAAAGCAAACTCTCGATGAGTTATATTCGTCTTCTAATTACTACAGTAATTACATAATAGTTCAGTTTGACTATTATAGTGCTTTTCACTATTTATTTTCATAAGTTTTCTGTTTGTTGGCATCTATCGGTAAATAGAAAACTGCACTCGAAAATTCCACATTTGCTTGATCCACAGATAAACTGTTTGTCAGATGCGGACTACATGAAATAACTGTATATTTTATGTAATTTTCACGTTATAGTTGCTTTGTTGTCTCTTATGCCTATGCGAAACATATGCTATAAAAGTTAGGAAACACAAATAAATCTGAAATAAATTAGAAATACGTGACGTTTACTAAGATGAATTTGGATTGACTAGAATACTTCGATACATCTTCCTTCACAGAGAGTCTTCGATATTAGTAAAAAAAGTGTTTGATTTACAAAAAAAAGATACACTTTTATAATCAATTTATTGATAAAAAACATACCGAGTCAAAAAGAACTGAAACAGCCCGGTTTTGAGCGACCGTTTCCCGTTACCGGTCACAACTCTCATGTACTTACTACGTTTTAAAGAAAAAGCCATGGATTGGGTCCAGTCAACACTAATCTATGGAACGGCTTTCTTTGCCCCAACCCAGCCTATTGAGATCTCTATGATGAATACAATATTGTTCTCAGTTTAAAACAAAACTTTTAATGGTCAAAATCTCTCAAGACGAGCAAGTGTTTATCATTTTTTTCCATCATAATATATTTCGTAGCCATCCGACGAGAAACACTAAAAACTAAAATCGAATATATGTCAAACATAATAAAACTTCATGCATTTGGCATGGTTCAGCTTTTCTAGACGTCTTTGTTTGTTTTCAGCTGTAATTTTTCTGAGTTCTACTACAAAGGTACTGTTCCAGTAAATCAACAATCACATTCTCACGAATTAACACACCAATATCTATCCAACTATGAAAGGAAACTTAGAAAAAGTTCACTCAAATTTCGAATGGTCGACATCAATAAGCTTGCGTATGAATATAAAAATAACAGAACGAAAAATTCACCTGGCAACTAGATGTATAGAACAAAAGCAGCTAAAAGAGCGTTTTAACTCAAATGAAAAGAAAAAGAAGGAAGTCGGGCATGCGATGTCGATTGAAGAAAATATTTACTCATTTCGACACACATCGATTTTCTTCATACTTCTTTATTATTTTTTAATATTTTGGAGCTCAATTTTACTAAAATAGGGCAAATTTCTTTTAGTCGTCATGCAACAATCATTAACATCGAGTAATAAAACAAGAAATGATTTTTCACCGAATGCATTGTTAACTACAACAATTCATGAAAATAAAGAAGATATAACACTTATTTGGTTTGATCCTAATATTGAATTACGTCGAGATTCGGAAAAAACACAACAACAACTGCGTCTTATTAATGATTATGTCATTTTTTCTTCTGATTTCGATCAATGCCTCACGTTTATTCAATCAATTAGTGAAGAAAAAATCTTCCTAATTACATTGGAAACAGAAACACCACAGATTTTATCTTACACTTTTGCTTTTCGTAAAATCGATTCAATTTTCATCTTCAATATCGAAAAAGATCGAGATGACTATTTATTAAAGGAATATCCAAAAATTATTGGAATTTATATGAACCTTGATGATTTATGTAAATCATTAAAAGAACAAATTGATCTTGTCAATAGACAAATACAAACATTTTCCTTTTTTGATCAACATCAAAAATCCACTAAAGATTTATCTAAAGAATCAGCAGAATTTCTTTGGTTTCAATTATTTAATTATGTTATTGCTCGTCTTCCACGAAATCAACAAGCTAAACAACAAATGATTCAAATATGTAAAGACTATTATCATGGAAATACAAAAGAAATAGAATTAATTCATCAATTTGAGCAAAACTATCTATCAAAAGATGTACTTCTTTGGTATTCAAAACAATCATTTATTTATAAATTAGTTAATAAAGCTTTAAGAACCAAAGATATTGATTTATTGTATATGTTTCAATTTTTTATTGAAGATCTTTCTAAAAATCTTCAACATGAACATGAAAAGATTTTATTATCAAATGAAAATACTTTAAATGTTTATCGAGGAGTTAAACTTGATAAAGAAGAATTTAATAAACTAAAAGAAAATCAAGAAAAACTTATTTCAACAAATGGATATTTATTAACTAGTCGAAGAAGATCATTAGCATTAAGTTTTGCACTAAAATCAACAGAAAGAATCAATGTTGTTTCTGTTCTTTTTCATATTCAATGTGATATTAAACAAACTGATAAAAATATTACTTTTGCTGATATTCGTCAATTTAG